TAAAATGATCGATATTTCTATTAATCATTAATAATAACTGTTTTTATAAAAAGTTAAAACTTCATACAAACATTTTAAGCTAATTAGACAAGACTCCTTATATGATATACTTCAACGCCCTTCAAGCTTTATTTGTATTTTTGTAACACTCTGTATATTAACATAATTACATTATTTTATTTATTTATCATCAACAAGTTTCAACAGCGTTTTACACAATATAATCTAATATAAAATTTTAAACGGTACTTTAGCCAATTACAGAAACTCACTTTGTATTCAATTTAAAAATTAAAATGATTACGTAGGGTAGAAATTACAAATTAACAATAATATAAAAGAAATACCAACAAAGATTCAAATTAATTTTGCGATAAATATAAATATCTATATAAATCAAAATTATAAAAGGAGCATGATAACTAACTTTGTGTAAATGAGTGTGTACGTAAGTGTTTGGTGTAGCGCGTGTGCGTGTGTGCGTGCATGCCTTCCGTTAAAAAAAAATCAGCGAAATGCATGAGCAACATTATTTAAAAAAAGTAAAAATTGAACAAAACTAATAAGAATTCTGATCATGCGATGTTTTCTGTGCTGATGGCCGGGGATACCTGATCATCCTCCGCAGTACACTTCTCTGTTTTCTCTAATCTAGTTCCTTCCATTCCATTCGAAACTCAATCAAAGTTTGCTCAATGTTTTAACAATCACTTGCGAGTTTTTGTGTAAAACAATACGTTTTCAGTGTTTTAATTATGGAAAGTGGCAGGGCCGGATTTAGGATTGTGTAGGTCCCGGGCCACTTAGGATTTGTATTCTTGTTAACCCATCGAAATGTTGTTATTTCTTAAGCTGTTGTGGAGGCCCCTGGACCACAGCCCCACCTGCCCTGCCTTAAATTCGGCCCTGCGGGCAAGTACCACCCCACTCAGCCATTAAGCGATCGGAGTACTCCCTCAAGATGGGTATTTTGATATTTCACTGATTGCCTGATTGGAGTGAACAAATATAGATCAATGATTTCTGTTATTTAAGATTAATATAATCAAATAATCATGTATGTTAGATGTACAAAGTACTGTAGGCTGTAGGTAAAGGTAAAAGAGCAAAAAAAATCAAGGAAAAGAAGAAGAAAGTTTTTTTTTTCCCAAGTCTATTGTGGGGGCCCCCCGTTTGTGGAGGCCCCGGGGCTTTCGCCCCGGTTGCCCTCCCCTAAATCCGGCATTGGAAAGTGGCATCAAAAACGGTAGCAAAAGTGGGAATTGTACTGATTTTATTCCTACTGAGGATATATTGATGAGATTAAATGCCAAGGATGAAGATAGAACTAATAGTTATATTCAAGAACTCATAGACTTAGAAGGGGAGTAAATATTGCCTTAACGGGTGTTGATTTTATTGACTATTATATGTTAAATTAAAAATAATGAAAGTGTATTATATTTTTTTTATAAATACTATCCTTTTAATTTTTCTGTGCTATTTTTTTCAATGAACCTAAATCCAACCCTGCTAATATCTATAATAAAACTCAAAAGTGACTGAATGACTAACATAGTGATCTATCAACGCACAGCCCAAACCACTGGACGGATCGGGCTGAAATTTGGCATGCGGGTAGATGTTATGACGTAGGCATCCGCTAAGATAGGATTTTGATCAATTCTACCCCCAAGGGGATAAAATAGGGAATGAAAGTTTGTATGAAACTTTGTCAATTTTAAACTGATCGGGCTGAGACTTTGCATGCAGCTATAAGAAGAATCATAGATGAATGTCATTGTATATAATATAAGCCTGAGAACAAAAACTGTAGTCTACACTTCAGCTCTACACCAAAGCGAAGCGAGAGCGGGCCGCTAGTTTGATATAAACACAAAGAACACAAGGTAAAATATCAGAAAGACCCTCTAATCTTTTTATTCGTACATTTATTTCTATTAAGAAACGTCCTCATGTTAAGTCATGCAACCGCTTGAAACCTTGGCACAGTTTCAGTTCAAGATTTAATATGCACGCTTGAAAAACAAGTTGTTACACGTTTTCAGAGACATTTGAAAGAAGGAAACTAGAGTGTGTCGTACACAGAACACACAAAGAGGTTACAAGGGTGATCATAGACTGTTTGTGTGGGAACCGAGGTCGCTAGCCTCCACTACACTTCCACGTAATAGATGATAGCCAATTAAACGATGCGACATCAAACAAACGAACCAATGAGCGCTCACACCCGAGAACAACCACGCAATCAGAACCACGTTTTGATGTCGCGTCGTTTGATTGGCTATTATCCACAGGTCCGTGCTATTATTTATTATTATTATTGCTATTATTTATATTATAATTTGACGACCTCCTTGGCGGAGTGGTTTGTACGCCGGGTTTCATGGTGTCGCCGACTCGAGAGGTCCCGGGTTCGAATCCCGGTGGGCGCAGATGTTTGTGTGATGAATTCGAGCATTTGTACTCCAGTCATGGATGTTTAATATGTATTTCTATATAAATATACTTATATTTGTATCAGTATATGTATTCTATCCGTTACCCTGGTATCCCATAACACAAACCTTATAGTGCTTAGCTTGGGGCTAGGCTAATTGGTGTGAGTGTTGGAAATATTTATTTATTTATTATCTATAAACGTGGAAATGTAGTGGGAGCGAGTCGGCGACATCAGTTCCCGCACAAACGATCTATTTGCTATGCTCTGTTTCGGCTGTCACTTGCCTGTTCTTTGCGACAGCTATGAGTTCGATCACCTCTATGATTTGATCGCGTGTTCTCACGTCAAGATTGTTTCACCTGCAAATATTTGAACGAAACGGAAAGCGAACACACAATATGTCACGCAATATCGCTCGTGTGGTAGCTGAGTAGTGTGAGTGACCCCAATCTGTGGTGCAGGGTTGCCAACCGTAGAACTTTTTAGGTTTCATGTCCGTCCGTATGTCACAGCCACTTTTTTCCGAAACTATAAAAACTGCACTTTTGAAACTTGGTAAGTAGATGTATTCAGTGAACCGCATTAAGATTTTCACACAAAAATAAATAAAAAAACAAGAATTTTTTCCTTGAAAAGAAGAAAGAAAGAAAGGTTTCCCCTTTCTTCCCATTTAAAAGTTAAAAGTGTGTATAAAAACATGTCTCCTTAAGAAAGGTTACTATGCTGTTAAGATTTAATAAATGATAAGTCACCTTGGGCTTAATATAATAGACTAAGTCATTTAACTTTGCTCATTTGGTTGAAAATTGTTTAAGCCACTTCTAATTATTTAAAAAATAGTACCTAGTTATACTTAACTTTTGTTAATTAATAATATTAATGTGATGGAAGTTGACATCAACACATGTTTTCAATTTATGATGTCATCTTTCAATTGACGACTCTATATGAAACAAAACAGGGAGAAAAAAATAGCCCTTGCTGAATTTCTTGCCGGTTCTTCTCAGTACAAGGTCTCCCGCCGTAGATTTACGAACCGATCGATGGCGTAGCGTTTGACTTTCACAAGAGATTGTAACAGCCTAGACTGAATAAATGAGTTTGAGTTTGAAACTGAAACTCAAAAAACATTTTCAAACGAACTACAAGAACTTTTATATTATGTTACTTGCTGCTACGGAACCCTTCGAATGCGAATCCGACTCGCCTTTGGCCGCTTTCTTTTTCCTCTATACAGGGTGTTACAAAAATACAAATAAACGCCCTTAAATTTAAGGGTTGAAGTACATCATATAAGGAGACGTCTATAATTTTTTAAAAATATTTGCATGAAGTTTTAATTTTTTATAAAAACAGTTATTTTTAATGATTAATAAAAATATCGATCTTTTTAAGACACGTCACTAGTTCGAGGACCATTAAAAATAACTGTTTTTATAAAAAGTTAAAACTTCATGCAAGTATTTTAAGCAAATTAGAGAAGACTCCTTATATGATGTACTTCAACGCCCTTAAAATTTATTTGTATTTTTGTAACATCCTGTATATGGTTTTAAACTTTCATGGTTACCCTACTGTGTTGTAACTGTATACAAAGGCGGAGAAGCGAACCCGGAGTCTCGTTACAGTATGACGAAAATCTTATGACGCGTGCCAGAAAATTTTCTTGAGTCAAACAAACAACCAAACAAATTCTTCAGCTTTAAATATTGGTATAGATATTTTGCTGTAAAACTATGTAATAATTCTCAAGAAAATATTACTAGAAAAAATTCCACGCGGACCAGGCAGCAGACGGGACTCGAACGCGCACCCTTCGCTATCCGGGCGAATGCTCTGACCATTATGCTGCCGTGTCGATTTTTTTTTTAATCTGACATTATATGCATGTCCTCATCTATATGGGTCAGAACTGAAAATCAGCGATTTACTCTCTGAGTAAATGTTTCACTGAGTTTTCGCCCATTCGCATCGCTGCTGCACACGAAAATATCATAGTATAGTTGTATAAATATAATTTGTTGCATGTTTTAAAGGATTTACATAATAGGGGTGATGACGGGGTACAGTAAACGAAATTCTATTTAGTCCGTCAGTTAGATGATCAAAAAATAATGGACACGTATTTTTTCTTTGGGCAATCAACCAAAAAATGACAAAGTTATAGCGCGTCAAAGTTTGGGAGTAGGGGCTCGTGACGTCACTTTTGAGTGAATTTTCACTTAGAAGTGTACTCAAACGTGACGTCATGCGACTTTTCAAATCAATATATCTCTGCAATGTTTATATTATGTGAAAAAAGAAAAAATACGTGTCCAATACTTTTTGATCATCTACCTGATAAACGAAGAAAAAAAAATAGTCATCATCCCTATTGTAAAATTTGTCTTCAATTTTGTATGTGTGTATGTTGGTGCGAATAAAGTTTTATCTATCTATCTATGTATCTATCGAATTCTTTCTAGCCTTCCTTAAGCTGCGAGGCAGCGCTCATCCAGCAGTTACATTTCCATAAAAAAAAAATTTTTAAGTACTAAAACTTTTTTTTCTTTTACAGGTATATACCCAGCTGATGCAATAGTCACAAACGCTAAATTAACTTTAAGGTAAACTTAGAGAATTAAGAATTAGTGTTAATTAAACTTAAAAAAATTATTCAGATCAAAATCAAACGCCCCGCTCAGAGACGTCAGTTATCTTTTTAGTTGTACTACTACCATAATCCTAATTTTAAATTCATGCTATTTAATCCATTACTGATAATTTTAATTTATATTTTTTTATCAATTTGTCAATCTTTATCAGTTTCATGTGATGAAAACGTGTCAGCCACACATAGGTTTAGCAATTTTTTTTCTATCAAATATAGTATTTTCGAAACTTTCACCTCTAAAAATATAGTAAGTAGATGGAAAAAATATATATATATGGTATGTGGTTAAATAGGGATGATGGCCAATTTTTTTTTCTTTGTTTACCAGGTAGATTATCAAAAAGTATTGGACACGTATTTTTTCTTTTTTCACATAATATAAACATTGCAGAGATATAATGATTTGAAAAGTCGTATGACGTCACGTTTCGGTACTCTTATAAGTGAAAATTTACTCTAAAGTGACATCACGAGCCCCTACTCCCGAACTATGACGCGCTATAACTTTGTCATTTTTCGGTTGATTGCCCAAAGAAAAAATACGTGTCCATTATTTTTTGATCATCTAACTGACGGACTAAATAGAATTTCGTTTACTGAACCATTGTCATCACCCCTATTATTTAAGTACCTTATGAGATATGCAGATCATTCCTAATGAAAATAATAAGTTTTATTTTCTGTTAAATAAGCGAAATTCTAATTCTAGAATGTATTTTATTGACATACTTACCAACTTAAGGATTTTTTTTGTGTTTGATCAGAAGTTTCATTAGGAAACATTGGGACGTGTGACTTGACCGGCTTTTCATGCTGCCTTTTTACATTTTTTTTTACTATTTTAAATATTAATTTTTTTTAGGTGCTTAATATGTGGTCACAAAGTTTAAAGTATAAAGCTTTGTGTTATTTTTTTATCTTTTAATAATTTCGGGCAGGGATGATAATTATATTTTTTTAAACTGGCAACAAAAGCTGGTCGACTTAAAATCAAATTTATTTTCTATATCAACTTATCTTATAGACTATTTTGCAATTTTTTTGTTAAGATAATTTCATAATCATTAATTTTTGTTAAGATAATAATTTTAAGAACAGAGTTTAATTTTCAATATATACATATGTATTATTAAACCTAGACTTTTTTTTTACTGTGCTACAATAAACAAAAATTATTTTTTATAATTCAACTTATATTGTTGAATAATTATTTTTTTTTACATGAACTGTTTTTTTATTAAAACCATTTATTTTTTGTTACCAACTTTAATATAAAAAATATTATTTGCTAAATTTTTACAATTACTTTCAAAATAATCACTATATTTGTCAAACGTGTCTTTAAAAAAAATACAATTTTATTTTAGTGTTATTAAATTATTAGTATTATTTTTCTAAGAGTTTTCATAAGAATAATGAACAATATTATTTTAAGTTTACCATGACATGTTCTTATTTCTACAACTCATTGAAAATCATTGTCACAAATATATAATCATTTTATTTTTGTAATAATAACCTAACTTTAATAACAAAGTATCGCTGTATCATTTTTGACAATAAAAAGAGAATCAACATACATGAGTCATCTCAGTATTTATAATTTTTATTATTTCAAAGCATGTAACTGCTTGATGTTTAAATCTAAAGAAAATATAACTAGAAAAAAATCCACGCGGGCCAGGTAGCAGACGGGACTCGAACCCGCACCCTTCGCAATCCGGGCGAATGCACTGACCAATTATGCTACCGCAGCCCTCACGGACCGCGTCGAAATTCTTCTAGCCATTCTTAAGCTGCAAGGCAGCGCCATCTCTTCGCATTATAGGTAACCCACACGGTTCGAGTCCCGTCTGCTGACTGGTCCGCGTGGAATTTTTTCTAGTTATATTTTCTTTAGATTTTAACATCTCAGTATTGTTAAATTTTTAGATCGATAGGTTTTTGCTGCTAATAATGAACACAACTCCCTACATTGGGCGGGGGCCTCAATCTGTATTCTAAATTCTCTAAACTTTAAACTAAATTCAAGAGAACAGTCTGTCCTTTTCGTTCTGTATTGAGCATAACAAGGATATACTAGTGACGATTCAGACATGAATCTTTAAACCCAAACTTAAAGGAGATTGCTCAAATTGGCCCAAATGGTCAAAAAATATTGACATATACGTTAATTCTTGGCGTAATTTTTACTTTATTTTACAGTCATTAGATTTTAACACCTTTGTATAATATATTCATTTTAAAAAGGATTTTTAATTTTACCGGTTTGGAAAGCATACGAATCATTTTTAATGGCTATGGGCGGTGTCCGTGATGCTAGCGTACCCACGATCAATATACGGTTTTTCGTTATGCCATTAAATACTGCATAAATAGTGCCAAATTAGTGTAAAAATCAAAAAAATAGTGCCTCTTTAAATTAAGAAATAAAGACCATTTTTACTGTGTACGCTACCATGACGTCAAGCTAGCGTACCCATGGCCGACCCCAAGAACGGCATATATTTAAGCAACGAAATTGGCACACAAAAATAGTACTCAAATAGTGCCCTGGCTTTACAAAATTTCATATTCAATACTCTTAAAGGACCAAAGATATTGAAGTAAACATTCTTAGCTGGCGTCAACTTGGCGTACCCATAATAGTTCTCATAGAAAATGAACTTTTCTCGTTATCAATTCGATATGTATAAATAGTGTGTCAAATAGTGCCTCCAACAGTAAAAGTATTTTATGTGAATTCGCAGTAAAACAATATAAAAAAAGCAATTAAATTATTTTTTATATATGAAGTACAGTCATGTACAGAAGTGATAATATTTTCGTAGTATAGTAGGTAAGTAAGGTACTTAGTAGGTAGGTAGAAATTCTTAAATGAATTTATGATTGGTGAATTCGAATTGAAATAAAATATCTTTTAAAAAAAGTACCTATTTATTTTAGTAAAAATACATATAAAGATAATCTCTTAGTGTATAAATTAATTTTGTGTGCAACTGTACTACAATACATTTGTTCCTAGAATTTAACATCCTCCTTATGTATTGTTGTGATGCGGAGTCACATAAAATACTTTTACTGTTAGAGGCACTATTTGACACACTATTTATACATATAGAATTGATAACGAGAAAAGTTCATTTTCTATGAGAACTATTATGGGTACGCCAGGTTGACGCCAGCTAAGAATGTTTAGTTCAATATCTTTGGTCCTTTAAGAGTATTGATTATGAAATTTTGTAAAGCCAGGGCACTATTTGCGAACTATTTTTGTGTGTCAATTTCGTTGCTTAAATATATGCCGTTCTTGGAGTCGGCCATGGGTACGCTAGCTTGACGTCATGGTAGCGTACACAGTAAAAATGGTCTTTATTTCTTAAATTAAAGAGGCACTATTTTTTTGATTTTTACACTAATTTGGCACTATTTACGCAGTATTTAATGGCATAACGAAAAACCGTATATTGATCGTGGGTACGCTAGCATCACGGACACCTATGGGCGTAGTAACATTCAACCAAAGAATGATTGAAGTTGTTTATATAACATAAAAACAAATCTATTTTATAAAGTTCGTTAGATTGTTTTTTTTTATTACACTATGGTATTAATATCCACAACTATATTATCATTTTCACTACATGCAAATGTGCTAAGATGATTATTATAGATGGTAGGCGACATCATAAAATCTAACAAAACTATCTGTCAATCTACATTCTGTATATACCTGAATCTAATACATAATTTCGGTACTTGGATTGATTTACTATATAAGTTATTTGTTTTTTATTATTTTAATACCTATGTACCTATTTGCAAACATAACCTCGAAATCATTCAGTGTATATGGTTTATAGAAGTTCTCAGGGTCCGTCAATAATATTCATTTCTAGAGTAATTTAAATATAATTTGGAATCTAGGAAACAATGTTTCATGATTATTGGTCCTTAGGCCAAACATTTATGGAAGCTGAGCAATCTCCTTTGACAGCAGTGTATCCTTGTCCATTCTCTATACAGAATGAAAACGAGAGACTGATGTTAAATTTAGTTTTAAGATTAGAGAATCATGCAAGGTACAACACCAGCGCTGTCAAATTCAATTAGAGGTTAAGAGAATACTAGAAGCCGGCCCAATATTAAGTTTAGTCGGAATCTTTCGTTATTTTAATATTTTTAAATATAGGGACAAGTGGGGGGCAGTGTAACATAAGGAATATTTCTGCCCTTTTCTTTATCTCTTGTATCGTCTTGATTTTCACTTAATTAATTTATAAATTACCTAAAGTGAAATTTAGTACCTAACTCTTACAATCTATAAATGAACATAGAAATTCGTATGTAACGCAGCTCTTCCATCTCTCATTGAGTTGCGTGCCCGACATAATCATAATCAAAATCATTTATTCAGTTTAGGCTGTTACAAGCACTCATGAATGTCTAGAAGCTACGCCATCGTCGGTTCGTAAATCTACGGCGGGAGACCTTGTACTGAGAAGAACCGGCAACAAACTCAGCAAGGGCTGTTTTTCTCTGCCTGTTTTATTATTACAGAGTCGTCAAATTGGAAAATTACTTCAGAGATGATTTCATAATGATTGTATTTTGTCAAAACTTATATTGAAAATATTTTTGTACATTGTGGATAGGGTTTTCAACTTTTTTCTATCAAATATAGTATTTTTGAAGCTGTTACCTCTAAAAATATGGTAGATGGCAAAAAATGGAAAAAAATATAGTTTGTGCTTTAAATCTATATTTTAGAAATTAATGTATTTTTTTGCTCTATGCCTTAATAATATTTTTTTTATTTTTAAGAAAGCTTTTACTGGCATATATCTGCTTTAAGCAAAATATAGTTTAGACATTATGGTTTTTGACCCCCTGATATAGTAGGATACTATATTATATTACCCTTATTGTGGGTATGCTCTAAAGAAATTCAAGTGATGTTGTTAGTCTAATATGCCGCCATCTTGGACAGCTGTCGTCAGAATTCAAATGGCCGGGGTAAAAACAGAAATATTTGTTTTATTACACTCGGCCCCTTGTTACATTTTGCCCCACTTGTCCCTATTTTTCTAGCAGTAAGCATACCTAGGTAAGAATTATTTTTGAAAACATTATAAATGTTTAGTTCCTAAATTGATAATGCCTATAAAGTTATACTAAATAAATGTATTATTATTATTTTAATGTATTTCAAACCATTTCATTGGAAGTGTTGGATACAAAATCTCAATAAAAGGAATTTCTATAAAGTCTGTCAATTAGATTATTAAAAAATAATGGACATTTATTTTTCAACCAAAAAAAATGAAAAACATTTAGTGCGTTTAAGTTTAGGGGTGGGATGGGGTGGGGGATCGTGAGGTCACTTCTAAGTTGTTTCCAAGTGAAAATTGTACCAAGACCTGACGTCGTGCGGAATTTCAAATAAATATAATACCTATATCTTGAATTTTTTGATAATGTAAGTAAAGAAAAAATACGTGTACCATAATTTTTTTGATAATCTACCTCGCAGATGACCTTTCCAGCGTCACCGGGTCTGGGGACGGCGAGATCCTAAGGGGACCTCAAGCCGAGAATTGTCGAGTGCCTCTAGAGGTATTCTAGGCGGATGGCATTTCCCCACGGGGAGAGTCTTCTCTCCGCCTGGAGCCTCTAGACCACGAGC